CTGCTGAACATAATCAAGCTTTTCCTTGTTGGCTCCAGTGTTTACTCCAGTCTAGCTGGTGCTCTGTGCAATGATGGAGAGAGCCCAGAGGAAGACAGACTTTGGAGCCAGAAATATCTATGCAGGAATCTTGGCTCTGCCTTTTACTAGCTGTGCAACCTCTTCCAAGCTGCTTAAGCTTAAGCTTCCTGAGTTTCTATCCCCTCCTCATATCTATATCTATCTTGGAGAGCTATTTTAAAGATTAAAGGTAATGTATGAGAATTCCTTGATACCATGCCTGCCACATAGTATGCACATAATGATGAGCACAGAAAAAGACATTAAGTGTTAAACAGAATTTGCTTTCTTTAAAAATGTCCTTAGTTTGTGGTCCCTTGTATTTTTCTTATAAAGTGAAGGGTATAGGGTTACACAGTATTCAAGAATGATATACAAAATCCATACATAAAATAAATTATATTATCATAAGACAAAGCCATCATCTCTCAAATGACTTCAAAATCGTCCAAAAATCTTCAATATTTTTCTTTCAGAGTCCTTTAGGCAATAACAATACTAAATATCTATAAAATATTATATATTATCACAGTATCGCAAACTCATTCATACTGAATTATCCTCTTTAATCTATTTGACTAGTAATAAGGTGGCTATCTGAAAATGAAGAAAACATAATTTCTTCATGGTTTGTAGAACTGATGCTTGGTGCATGGTTGCAGGGAGGTGAGTTGAGTTGCTCCATAAAGGCCACTGTACAAAGACCTTACTCAGAAAACTTCACATTATCATAAGACTCTTGCATATTTGACACCAGCCCACAATTTTGCCCAAAGCTTTCCCAATATCTGTTCTCAAAGTATTTTATACTCAATAATACCCCAATTCTTAGGTTAAATCGATATAATTATAAAGTAGTTTAAAAAGATGTTAACTATTCTCACTGATTCTGTTTTCTTGGGGTGAGCCCCTAAGCTATCTAGCACTAGAATCTATTGACTGCCTTCTGGCATCATACAGCAGTAGTCTTGGAAGCAACTGAAATCCACATAGCTCCTTCTGCCCCAAAAGGCAGAGGTGTGCCATCTTCTCCTGCTGAGTCACTGCAGATTTCTCCTTTCCTCAGAGACTCACCACTGCTGGCCTCCAACGCTGTTCCCTGGTTTTCGGCTGCCACCACTGTCCTCACTGTGCCATCTGGGCTGCTCTGGCTGTGCCTTGCACCTCTTCTGTCTGTTGCTTTCTCCTTTCTGCTTCTTTCCTTTTTCTCTTCTATAGCCCATCCTTATTCTTAGCTTTCTGAAGTGCCATTGGACATACAGTCATTGCCAGACTATGGATTCCTACTAAAAATCTAAAGACTATTATTTTGTATTCAGGGGCTACTGCTATGTCGCCTTTGGGTGGTCTCGTTCCTCCACTCTCACTGGATTTTGCACTTTGCCTATTGTTCCTATTGACTGAAGACCTGAAATCTAGCCTGTGAATAACTGGGGAATAACTGTATCCTAGTCCATCACTCTCAATTTATCAGGCAAATGGTCTGTAGCAAACTCTTTGCTACAAAAAGTCACTAGAAAAATAAAATCATAATTCACTTCCTTTGAAGTGGCAGGACTTTTTAATAAGGCAATTCTGATATGGTTAAAATAGGGGCATTTTAGATATAAAGGTCAAAGAAGAACAGTAAACACATTATTTCACTGTCAAGTAGTTTACTATAAATAAGTATGAAAGCATGTGTCTGCAGTTCTGTGTGTATTAGACACTTTCAGATTGTTTTCTTTCTTTTTTTTTTATACCACAGGAACACAGAAGAGAATAATGAGTGAAGAGCTATAGCAAACAGCAAAAGTAACAGAGAGAAAACACACAGAAAAAATGAAAGAGGAGAAAAAAGAAGAATACATGCAAGAAATCAGATGAAGAAAAAGCAGATAAGCCAGGAATATGTAGATTAAAAAGTATGGAAAGGAAGATAAGCAGCCAGAGAGAGAAACAGAAATGGAGAGAGGCGAGGGGAGGGAAACAGTAAGGAAAAAAGAAAACTCAAAGGAAAGATTATTTTTTTCCCTTTGGTTTATCAAATTTTCCTTCCCAGTACATGTTCTGGAATACCATGACTAACTTCATGACAGCCACCTCTATAAGTTAATTTGCACTCACAACTGGAATTACCTACAGGAAAGAAGAGGTGGGTTGACTCTAGGATAAGGAGCAATGCAGAATATGAGAAATACATGAACCATGGGAGCCCAGTGACATTCTTCACCCTGAGCTCTAAAATGATCTACATCTGGGAAACGTTGTTCAGCAGCCACTCAGCCATGCCTCCAGTCTTCCAAGCCTCAGATCTGATCCCCATCACTAATGTTTTCATTTGCTGAAATCTTTGATGTGGGCCTTTGTCTACCTTAGGCTGGGACAGAGGGCAAAATGGTCTATGTGTTTCTCCACCTGAGCCAGCTGGAGAAAGCACAAAAGAAGATAAGCCTTCTACATTCCAAATGGTAATGAGGAGAGCACAGGCTCTGGAGAAATATTCTCTAGTTTGACTCTTTGACCATTTATGAGCCCCAAGACTTTGGATAGTTACACAGCCTCAGTGTCCTGTCTTTAAAAGAGAGAGAATGATGGGTTCTACCTCCTGAGAGTTGGTTTGAGAATTAAATGAGATAATTGCATGTAAAGTGCGTAGCAGAATTCCTGGCATATAGTAAGTGCTCAGTGATCATTTTATTGTTATTATTATTGCCCCCTACTCTAAGACAACAGGTTATATCAATTACACAATTGTTAAGCTCAGTAATAGATCCTCAATGACTACAGTACAAACATCTTTATTTAAAGGTAACTCAGTACTCAGAGAACAAATAGTTGACCCTATCCTTAAATTCAGATACAGGCCTACTCTTGGGGCCAGGTAAGCTATAGCACTCTCGCCAGTCTGGGGAAGCACATGTAATCAGACATAGTTGATTTTTACAGCAAACCATTTGAGTGGGAGAAATAAAGACAAAACGTAGCCTCACAGCATTTCCGGTCAAGTTTTGCCACCAAATGACTAAAGAGATTTGGGGATTTGCGGATTGTAGACAAGGGGCTATAGACCTACACATTCTATGCTAAGTGTCCTTTGCTCCTCCTTCACTAGAAGATCAAAGACCTAGCCTAG